GGAATCCAGTGTGATAAATGAAAACGAGAGGAGACCCTGATGATTTGCAGAATCATTATTCATGAATTTGTGGGTCTCGCCCATCCTGCCCCTCCCCCTCCCCCACCACTTCAGCCCATCCACAGGCCTGGGAGGGGGGCTCAGGGAGAGCCTGTTGTGGGATGGCAAACAACCTCAACCCCAAACTCACAGCAGCAGCCCACCCTATTTGTGGATTTTGCCATTCATCGTGGTGCCAGGCACACATCCACCACAACTGGAGAGCATTTACTGTAATGCACATGGAAAAATACAATCCCAACAATATGTACAAAAACAGGGCTAAAATAGCTGTTGCCACTCAAGAAAGCATTGTGGATAGTTCCCTCAAAACATCTGTTCAATGTGCAGTGGCCGTCTAAAAAGCTAAAAGAATATTGGGATTCATTAGGAAAGGAATAGATAAGACAGAAATTACCATATTGCCTCCATATAACACCCACATCTTGAATATTGCATGCAGGGCTGGTCACCTCATCCAAAAAATATAGATATTGGATTTTAAAAAAGTACAGAAAGGGGAGAAATGATTAGGAGTAAGGAACAGCTTCCATATGAGGCAAGATTAACAAGACGGGGACTTTTCCGTTTGGAAAAGAAATGACTAATGGATGGGGAGATATGCTAGAGGCCTAGAAAATCATGACTGGTAGGGAAAATATTTATTTATTTCTTCCTTCACTAACATAACAGAAGAAGCTCACCCAATGAAATGTGCTCAATACCTTTAAAATAAATTATTTTCTTATAGGCAGCCTGGAACTCTGCCAGGAGACTGGCATGATTTTACAGAAATACTTAACGGAAAAAGAGCGTCTAGATTGGCACAGATGCTTTTGCGCAAAAGCATCCATGCCCAGTATAGACGCACTTTTGCGCAAGAAAGCTCCGATGGCCCTCTTACACAAGTATTCTTGCACAAGAAGCACTGATCCCTGTGCGGGAGCGTCAAAGTATTTGCGCAAGAAGCACTGAATTCTTACATTAGAACGTCAGTGCTTTTGCGCAAATTCAAGTGGCCAGTGTAGACAGCTGGCAAGTTTTTGCTTTTGTGCAAAATCTTGCCAGTCTAAACACACCCACAGCTTCTTGCGCAAGAACAGCTGTTCTTGCGCAAGAAGCTGTGGGTGTGTTTAGACTGGCAAGATTTTGCGGAAAACAGGGCTTCTTCCAGAAGAGTTATTCCTCTCCCCATGAGGAATAAGCCTTCTTGCGCAAGAGCTCTTCCACAAGAGGGCAGTGTAGACCGGCAACATGAATTTCTTGTGCTAGAAGCCCCTATGGATGAAATGGCCATCAGTACTTTCTTGTGCAAGAGAATGTCCACACTGCCATGGATGCTCTTGCGCAAAAGCACATGCCAGTGTAGACGCGCTCTTGTGGAAGACTTTTTGCGCAAAAACTCTTCCGCAAAACAGTTCTTGCACAAGAAGCTGCCGGTGTAGAGGTAGCCTTCCAGAGTTCCAATAAGAACAAAATAAGTTCAAGAAGGATCGAGCCATCAGTGGCTATTAGCCAGAATGGGCAGGGATGACATCCCTAGCTTGTTTGCCAGAAGCTGGGAGTAGGTGACAGGGGATCGATCATGAGGACTGCCACCTCTTGTTCACGCTTTCTGTAGCACCTGGCATTCGCCACTGTTGGAAGACAGGATACGGGCCAGATGGACTATTGGTCTGACCCAGTCTGGCCCAATGTATCTGCCCCCTACTGTAACCTACTATATCCCACTCCCTTTCCAGAGCTGAGATAGAGCCCAGGAGTCCTAACAGTCTCTCTTTGCAGTAAGAAACAAAGTAATAAAATATATTAACATTTTAAGGCCAACCTGTATCCCCTAAGTGACTTGACACAAAAGGTCCAAATACGTTTGTATTCAAGCTGAAGTCAAATATTTATTTTTATTTTATATAGGAATCAGATGCAGTGCTCCTGTCTGTTACTTGCTAAGTTATCTGCTAAAACAAACAAGAGTTTTCCAGTGTCTTTATAGCCCCTGGAGAAAGGTGATGTGTGTATGTAAGGGAAGAGGTTGGTCTCCCCCAATTTGCTGCTTGGCTTGTACTGAGCATGCTCAGTAACACTGCTGAAGATGCTGTCCTCAGGCTGCCACCCATGCTCTCACTCCCCACCCCCCTCATGGTATATTGTTTGTGCTTTTAAAAGGTATAAATTCTATTCTGTGGTCTCCTCTGACTACTTTATACATATTATACACAGAGTCACTCATACACAGTTCATCTGGTTGAGAATGGTGTAATTGTGGGCAGATGGCATGATTGAATTTGATCTTTTGCCCAGCAAACTTCAGTATGAACTAGATCATTTCGTGGAGCATGTAAGCAGAACACCACCACCGGAGCCAAGTGGAACGCAGCCCTTCTCCCACCCACGGCAGAAGGTGTAATCAAATACTGACGCTTTGTCTTTTTTGTTTGGCAAAGGCAGCTGCAGAATCATTCGAACACTCGCACTGAGGCTACTAGGACTTGGGCAACAGTTCAGAGCAACTGCTCTCCAAACCGGTCAGTACAGACTCTTGAGCTCAAGAATACACACTGCTGTGACATGCAGTATCACTCATTGTGGAACTCTCCTTGGCATTTGAATCTTGCAACTCACAAGGGAAAAAACCAGTGGGTTTTCCCCCCGCTCTCTGGGCCATTCAAGCGTGTAGTTCTGCCTATGTCGTAACTACGACATGATCTAGAAAGTGACTATATTACTCAGTACTTCAACAGCATAGGACAACTTCTCATTTCCTTACTGCCGCATTTCTCAAACTGTGGGTCCCGACCCTCCAGGGGGTCATGAGCAATTTACCAGGGGGGAGGGAGGTCGTGGTATCACAAAGTTTGAGAACCCCTGCCTTATTGGATTTTAGGTGAAAAACCAGAATGCTAATCTATGCAATTGATGAATGTAAATTCAACTAAAACAAATAGAGGAAATATTTGATTCTTTCACATCTGCTAAGGATGAATATTCCCATTGAGTTCTGTCAGGCAGCCGAAGCCAGTTATTCTCTTCCCCACCAATCCTGTAGTTTTGCTGCAGACAACAATTCATACTTGTTGTCTATAAAAAGAGTGTTAACTCCAAAGTCTGCTGCTGTAGTTCAAATGGGCGAGTGATAGTCTGATGACATTACAAATGATAGTCCCAATCTTACTTCCACACAGATGGATGCCAGTGCTTGAGCAGAGCCAAGCCATGCTGATATCAAACGCACTCCGGCCAGGCAGCTGTCACAACCTCACTGAAGTCAGTGGGGCTCCAAAAGGCTCTGCTCATGCAAAGGCAATTAACAGGATTGGAGCCTAGGAGTTCAAAGGAAAATACACCAGCCAGAAAACCATAGAAAAAGTACATTATAATCCCAGGGGAAAAGCTGAAATTACGGTTCATACAAAATACCTGTTTTTCTATAGCTTTTTTTCATCTGTAGATTTTCCATGCACTTTACCAAAGCGGTCAGTTTCTCTATCACCATTTCACAAGCATAAAAGATTGAAGCCACAATCTTGAGCAGAACTCTGTGATGTGGGAGGCCTGGGATGCAGGACCTGTTATTGATGGAGGAAGTTGTATAACCCACTGACCCTCCGTGGGTCTTCATTTTCCCATTTGTAAAGTCGAGACAATGCCCGCCTTTGCGGAGCACTTGGTCTTTACTGACCAAACGAACACCTTGCGGGAGGGAAGCATGATCATGGACGCGAGGGGAGGGTAACAAAATTAAGTGCTGAGGTACAGATTGTAAACTCTCTCTCCAGCAAGAAAGCCAGGGGCTTTTGTCATGTTGAGTCAAGTCCTTATCCCAGGCAAAATTGCCATTGAAGGTCATGAAGAGTTTTGCTCAAGTATGAACTGCAGGGATGCGGCCGATTGGACGAGGACTGAAAGAACGAGTAGTCATGTGGCTCCTTAAGAGACTCACAAAAATATACAGTATCATGAGTTTTTGCGGGCAGAACCCACTTCCTCAGAGGAGCTGGAAGCTCAGCTATTCCAGTTCTCATTTAATCTCTCGCTGTAGCTTGGCCTGAGGCAAATGCCCTTCCCAGAACCAGAACTGAAGTCGTCCTCCATAAAAGGGCTGGGGAACTTTCTACACTATGGCTTCACTTAAAAATGCTGCAGCCATTTGAGGATAATAGCCACCCTCTTGTGACTCAAGCACAGCAACTGTACTGTTCAATAGTCACCCTTGTGTGTGTATACAGCAATTACATAAGCAATCCAGCCACATATAAAATGCTTAAGGGAGGTACCAGGTTTAAAAATCACCCACTGCACCAACGAATGCTCATTCAATCTAAGCAATGCTGCTAAGTATTGTCCCCCGCCTCGCCCTTTTTTTTATTGACCTTTTTAGGTGACAGTCTTAGTAATAAACTGGCTCTGGCTTTCTTTAGAATTCCTCTTCCTGCTGCTCCGCTCCCCACCTGGAGTGCCTCTTATGCACCATGTAAAGCAATTTCTATAACAAGCACGGATGTTGCAAGCAGGGGTCAGTAGGACTCAGAGGAGGAATAAGGAGCAGGAAACAAACCTTTGAAACCAAGCGGCTGTTTTTATGCAAATAGCTTCAGTAATAAGGCCCCAAGGAGGAAGGGAAAGGTTGAGAATGACAAGGAGACTCAAAGGTTTTTGGCACCGAGAGAACAACTTAGGTCAGTCAGTGGTAGAGATAGGAATAGAAGCCAAGTTCCCAGGCACTAAGCCATTACTGTAGTGATTAGTTAGGGAGGGAAGCATTTCACTGGGGAAGGCTAGTTGGGTAACACTGCATTAAATAGGGGAAATAGGTACGTGAACTAGGCTTTTCCCAACTCCACTTGCTTTGTTTGTAATACCACGGGAGTAGGCAGGTTTTGATTATTGACTGTGGAAAAGGCTAACGATGACACACATGGTAAGTGGTCCACATTTGCAAGAATTTGACTATTTTCACTTACTTTCTAAAGCAACTGATGAGGCTCAATTAACTGCTCAGGAAAGGCACCTGCAGAGGCAACAGCATAATTAGTAACCATAATTAGTGGGTTAAGGAAACCTGGAGTCTGGGACAGCCCAGGGGCCAGACTTTAGGAAAAGCACTTAAATGAGAACAGAGAGGGAGGACCAGTGTTCCCTGTAAGCTGAACGCTTGGGCAGCCACCCAAGAGAGATTCAAATGCTGCCCAATTGATTAGCAGAGCACCCAAAGCTGGCAGGATGTACGTCTGCTGGTGGTTCACCTCCACACATACCATGGTGCATATAACAAAATTTATTCTGCACATGGATGGGAAAATTAGAGGCAACATTGATGGATTATTCCATGGACAATTTTTGCTAATAAAGCATCAGACTTTTTTCCCTGCCAGGGTTCCTATCATTGAAGCATACATACAAAGGCCCCTGGCAATTTGACAGATGGTCAGCTACAGTATAGTACTGCTTACACTGATGTCTTAAAACCAATCTAACAGACAAATCACCATCCAAAAGTGGTGTCATAACTGGGATCTCAAAACTTGATTTAGTTCCATGGCTATTGCTTCTCTCTAAATAAGACAGTTTACAGATTGGTATAAAGCTCCTCACAGTAATGATATCTAGAAGCAATACACACTGTGTCAAGGAAAAAAAGGTGACTAATTGTGTAACTGGAATTTTTAAAACAGCCAGTCTAGGTGAAACAGCTTTATACCACTGGCCCAAAAGATCATAACCAACATGCCCTGCATGAACAGAGGGCAGATTTTAGGGCCATTATGAGAAGGGTGTAGCTGTACAGAGTTTATCAAAACAGGACCTGCCTCTTTTCCTTCATCTGGAAATGGCAGGTAACAAGCTTGTTAGGGACTTTTTGAGCAACCTAGTTTATATTTCTTAGGAAGTTACAGGAACAACAGTTAAAACCAAATTTCACTCTCATGAAATGCTGAATGCGGATTGATTTTGTAATACACCAGTTATTAAATATAACCAACATAAGTGACGGTAAGAGAACACCGACCTTTGGTTTTAATTGTTAATGTGTTCAAGGTTCTCGTGCAAAGACTAATGTTTAGCTTACAAAAGACTAAAATAAGGTTCAGCCCAATTAACTGGTTTTTTTTAAAATCTATTTACATGTTTAGATTTATTTTAGAGCATTAAAAACCTCAGAGCAGTCTCTTTTCCCAACAATTCACCAGCAAAAGCAGTTAGTGGGCTAAATGACTACGCAGCTATGAGCCTGCTTAGTCTGGATTAACACAGATAAATGCACATTTTGCTGAATAGGATTATGGGCAATAAGACTTGTTCCAGGCTCTTGATTTCGTACTGCAGGCTGTTACACCTGAAATCCAGTACAAGCACCAGGATGAAGCTAGACTAAGGCAAAAAACAGCCCATGGGCTGGATACGGCCCACCAAGCCACCCCAACCCTAGTAAGAGTCTCTGCAAGCTCCTTGCCTGCCCCCGCACTTTACTCAGAGCAGCCAGCTGCAGGGGCCTGTGCATCTGAGCGGGCGGGAAGAGGACCTGGGCCATAAGAGCTGTGAGATTGTGCTGGGGACAAGGACAGAGCGTGACACCTCTCTCCCCTACATTCTGTACCCCAATCCATTGCCCCTGGTCACAACCCCCTCCTTCACCCAAACTCCCTCCCAGAGCCCACATCCCCTCCCGCATCCCAATCCCCTAGCCCGAGTTCTCTTCTACCCCCAACCTCCATCCCAGACCCTGCACCACTTCCATCCATAGCATAAAGGGGTGCAGCTCTTGACCACTAACAAATTCTTGGAGTGGCCCCGCCCTCAAAATTATTGCCCTCCCCTGGGCTAGACCCACTTCACGACTGTAGCTTTAAGTATTTTCTGTGTGTTCAGGCAGCATCGTAAATATTAGGCCTGGGCTTTTGAAAAGTCTCTAAATTCAGTGGCAGCTGGGCTTCCTTGAGCTCCTTTGAAAACTCCAGCCTGTCTTACATCTTCTTCCTTCATCTCCCCCCCCCCCCGGCAAAGTCTAGCAACATGTGATTTTTGTTGCCCGTAAGAAGGCTTTTTCCCCTGGGTATTTTGCCCACCGTTGTAGAGCAAGAAGTGAAGTGGATGGAAAAGGAAGGATGCAGTGGTAGCCAGCTGTGCCCTCCGGCTCTTCCATTAGAGAAGACTACGGCAGCAGGCTTAAATACATTTTGCATAATCCCATTTAAAATGAGCCCATAAGAGCATGCACAAAGGTTGCCTGTTACTTGGTTCTGACCGTTCTAGCTTAGCACATCTTAACCCAGGGAAAGCGTTTATCCCACTCAAACGATTTACTGAAGATAGACATTTACTAAAGACTCCCCTTCCCCTCCCCCCCCCGAAATCCCAGCAAACCCTTTACCCTAAAATAGTCTGTCAGCGAAGGAGGGCCACAAGCTAGCAAGGAAGGTTGTGAAAAGTGAAAGCCAATAAGCCACTCTGCTTATTATTGCAGCCCTGTGAGAGCTTGGAATAACTTTTTTTTTTTTAAATAAAGGCCAATTCTCCCTCCACCGCCCCCCAACAGCATTTGAAATCCAAGGAGTAGTTAATTTCCAATTATCATGCCTATGAATGTCAACCTTTTAGCACAGCATGGCTATTAAAAGGTATTTTTAGCCACGTGCTTCAAGGAACATGGCAATTTTGATGGTTGCCTCTGAGGAATATATGTAATCACCGTCCTTTATTTTCACACCTGCAGTCAATTATGGGCCCAAGTATTTGTATTTATATTTTCGATTGTGCCGGTCACTGGGGGAGACGTCTAACTGCTGTTTGTGCCTGAAATGAATTGTACTTGCAAAGACAGCCAGGCTGGACTGAGACTAATTTAAAAATTAGGTCCAATGTGGACATTAAGAAAGGATAATAAACAACAGTGTTCAAGAACATCTGAGGCTGGTTAAAGAGTTCTACTAATATGAACTGGGCAGCTGGTTTAATAATTCTAACAAGAAACAGTGCAACAGATCGAGACAGGTGACTCAGAACTATAGTGAGAGAGACAGGGAACAGGCAATTCCCACATCGATTTGTATGGGTGGGAAGGGAAATACAGAACTTGCCTCTAATGGGAGCATTTGCCATCACCAATGGTTTTGAGCTCCTCTAGGCCAGTCCAGACATTTGTCCTGGACTACAGTCCCGTAGAGGATCAAAAAGGAGGATCTGTTGAAATCCCTTTTGAGACTTCAGTTCTAATCTACTATTTTTAATAATAATTAGTGAACATGTGGAGATTAGTGATTTAGCCACATTTTACACTGGTGATTTACCTATAAGTATTTCTTCATTAAACGTAATTCAATGAAGCCCTAATTGAATAATTTTCTCCTTTAATACTGAACAGCCATGTCATTTGAAAATCAGAAAAAACAGGAACCCTTTGCTTTTCAAATGACCAAATCCCATTTCCACATACGTATAATGTTAAAGGCTTTGGAAATTCCTTTGGATTTGTCAAATGCAGTTGTGAAGTTTCTTCTTACAGCATATTTATTACATTACTGTGTGTCTGTGTTGGCATAGCGCATTTATGGGATAACATGAAAAGGCTAACTATACACCAATGGACTCACTTCAGCTGAAATGAAACAAAAGGAACTGCTATACCACTTAGATATTTATTTTTTATTTGAGCAAACAAGACAATTTAAAAATCTTTATTTTTACCTTGTATTAAGTATTAAAGGATCACCATCCAGTTTCTGATAAGAAAGAAGCTGTTATAGTGTTCAGTCCAGTCTCTAAATATCAGATAAAAGATGAACTTTAGAAAGCTTTCAGAATTACAACACAGTTCATCAGAACAGGCACACAAGGCTGGCAGAGTAATTATAGATACACGGGAAAGCTTGCAAGTTGGTTGGTCTCTAGGCAGAGTCACTGCAAAGATTTTGGATAAAAGAGGCTGCTAAACGCCTTTGAGAAATTATTTGTAGACATGCTGTGTGAGACAGATCTAGGGCTAGATTCATAATTACACAAGACTCTTCCTTCTCACTCTGGTAGCGTTAAGGGACCTGCAAGTAGGCCCACATTACATTTACTCTCATTTATGGGCCCTTCCCACTGACAGAATGGTGTAAAGGGGCTTTGGTGTAAATGAAAACAGTGCCTCGTGTGTGGTAGATGTTTGATCTGAACAAAACAAAACTGCCACAAAATAAAATGATACAAATAGCCAGCCACATT